TGGAACACAAAATTAGATGAGTGTTTAATATCCCTTGGTTTTAGAAGAAATTCTCAGGAGCATGCCGTTTACATGAAGCATACTGAAAAATCAAGTCTACTTGTGGGAGTCTATGTTGATGACTTGATTGTGACAGGTTCTGATGTTCAGTGCATTGAAGAATTCAAGGCTCAAATGAAGGTAAAATTTGATATGAGTGATCTTGGCTTGTTGAGTTTTTATTTGGGCATTGAAGTGATACAGACTGATGATGAGATAAGATTATGTCAAAAATCTTATGCATTAAAGATCCTTGAAGATATGGGAATGGCAGATTGCAATCCAGTGCAAACTCCTATGGAAGCCAGAATCAAGCTTACCAAATCAGGTACACATTCTTTGGTAGACTCAACTCAATATAGGAGTATTGTTGGTAGCTTGAGATACTTGACTCATACACGGCCAGATATTATGTATTCTGTTGGAATTGTGAGTAGATTCATGGAGACTCCTAATTCTGAGCACCTTGCTGCTGTGAAGAGAATTTTGAGGTATGTGAAAGGGACAACAGAATATGGTTTGGTGTATCCAAAGAGGCAAACAGAAGGAGGACTAATTGGCTTTAGTGATAGTGATCACGCAGGAGATATAGATGACAGGAAGAGCACTACTGGGATGGTCTACTTTTGGGGTCCACATGTGATTAGTTGGGCTTCACAGAAACAAAAGATAGTGGCTTTATCATCTTGTGAAGCAGAATATGTAGCTATCACTTCTGCAGCTTGCCAAGGAATATGGCTTAGTCGCTTACTAAGTGAATTGAAAGGGGAAGCAGAGAAGACAGTGAAGTTGTTGGTTGATAACAAATCTGCGATTGCTATGAGCAAGAATCCGGTGTACCATGGAAGGTCTAAGCATATTGATACTCGCTATTATTTCATCAGAAGTTGTATTGAGAAGAAACAGATTGAAGTGGACTATATCAGAACAGAAGAGCAGTTAGCTGATATATTCACCAAGTCTTTGGGAAGAATGAAGTTTATAGAGATGATCAAAAATATTGGTCTGAAAAGCTGCAAGTTTGAATGACAAGATTAGGGGAGGCAATGTTAATCTAATCTTTGTCATTTGTGTTAATCTTATGTTTAAGTGTTTTAACTGAACAACAGTTATTATTTAGTTTTTAAAAGCAATAACTGTATAACAGTTATTTAGTTTGCTTTGTACCGCCATTTCCTCCTCCCTCTGTATTTTTAGGCTATAGTTGCTTTTGCTTTTTATATATATAGAAGAGTGCAGGTTTTGTAAGTAAGAAGAAGAAAACAGTTTTTCTTTTTGAATTGAATAGAAGGAAAAGTTTGTGTGAAGAGAAAAACGGTCCAACAGATTTTTTTTTCTTTCTCTGCTTTGTTTTCTTGTTCTTTGCTACCGGTATAGATCCTTCCAAACAATGCTCTCCCGCTCCCAGTCTTCATCCTGCCTTTAGAACCTCCACAAGAACAAGCAGAAAGCACTATTTTAGGGATTTTGATATTTTTTGAATATTCTTTGCATGATTCAATGGAGGGCAATGAAACCTACTCTGTTGATCATTTGTCACCAAAAAGTTCCGCGTTTTCTCTATTTTGATAGTTTTTGAAAATTCTTTGCATGATTCAATGGAGGGCAATGAAAACCTACTCTGTTGATCAGTTGTCACCAAAAAGTTCCGCGTTTTCTCTAGAGATTGTTTCATCCACTATTCAGTCTGAAAGCTTAACTGCCAAATTGAAGAATATTTCTATGAGGAAGAACTTGTGCATCCAAAGTGTCCAGCAAGCTCTAGAAATGTTAATGTTAAAAAGTGCAAACCAACAATCTCTCCAGGCATTGATTTTGAGTTAAAGCATTCCTCTAATGCTTAGGAAGTACAGGAGTCTGCTATCTTCGATATGGTAGAGCCACTACAACTAGGTTTTGAAAAAAAACAAAAAGCAATTCAATCCTTACCAGCCTCTTCATCTAGTTCTTCGCCTCCAACCCTTCCTGCACTGCTACAGAGCATCACAAGCGTGGCAGTTGTCACAATTTCCTCGACTCAACTCAGCTACAGTACCAAAGGGAAATTGCTAACTAGAAAAACCTAATCATTGCCGAATTCTAGCACAATAATTTCACTAGCCAGATCCCTGACTCAGGTCAACTGCTCTGTGGTCTTGTTTCAAACCCATCTCCTCAACCCCTCAACAAGTCAACAACCACAAGAGACTCTAAGTATATTCCTCCCCTACATGCTTCATGGCTTCATCAAGTTCTTGATCAAGCCGAAATTCAATTAAGGGCATCGGTGATGATTGATATGTATGCAAAATGTGGACTCATTGATGATGCCCAGCAGGTCTTTGTTGAGATAGCTGACAAGGATGTTTTATTTTTACAGCACGATGATTACAGATCTTGCAATGCTTGGTAGGGCTGATGAAGCATGTTTAGGGTGATGGTATGGCAAGACTGGACTTTTGTTTTGTTGCTGGGAAATGGTAGGCTAATGAAGACTCGTGATGAAGAGACCCTCAGTTCCTTTGAGGGAAGTAATGTTCCCCGTTCCGTTGAGGGAAGTAATGTGAAGGTTTTTTTTTTTTTTTTTTGTCCAAGAAATGCTCGTTGTGTTGTGTCATGAGCTTTATTGGAGGGATTGATCTTTCTGATGGAGGTTATGTTAAGTCTCGAAAACATCTAATTTTCGATCTAGGAGGACTAATTGTAATATCAACATCTACCACCATCTCGATAATATCTCGATGGAGTCAAACTTTTCTGATGCAAGGGGAGTATGATTTGAATATCTTAGTTATAATATGCTTAGGGATTAGCATACCCTTTCTTGTCTTATAATTCCTATTTGTTTTTGTTGCTTTTCACTTCCAAATTACATTTTTAGTTATAGTACAAAACTACCTATTTTTAAATTGTTCTATTACAAAGTTACACATAGGTGATGTAAGGAGTCTTGTGGCTCAATTAATGATGAATATTATAACTTTTGAAGCCTTTGAGCTTGTATTTGGTTCCTTGTCTCTTCTAGCTGGTTCTCTTCCGCCGATCTACTGCATCACAAAGCATAGATGTACAACCAAACAATATATTCATGTCATATAACTCTTCATATAAAACTTGCAAAACTGCATATCTAATATATTGGAGTTCCCTTACATGGTAATCACAGAAGAACACCACAGAAAATTTTGTTGTTTAATTCCACAGATAATGCAAGGATCAAGTCCGCCACATCAATTCCAATCATCAGAGGAGATACTACTGGAGTGGAGCTGGCTTGAGAAATAGCATCAGAAAGCCCAGAAAAAATAGTAAAGCTAGTTCACAGTGGTCCAAGGCTTCTTAAATTCATAGGACAGAAATCAAGCCGCAAGGCCAAACCACAATTATTTTTAGGGGAATTTATAAACATACCATTGAATTTTTGTATATTTACATATCTAACACCTTAATGTTTATATTTATTTATCTAAATACTTAATTCTTAAATCATTTCAAAACGTCACTAATACTAACTTATTTAAGGAGAATTAAATATTTTCATCCATATATTTTTGATGTGCTTAAGAAATTAAGGTGTTGCATAAGTAAATATAAGATTTTAGAGGTTAGATTTTTAAATATATAAGAATTTAGTGGTATGTATGTAAATCTCCTTATTTTTAATCATTTGATGCATTTGTATTATTTTTTAGGCATGTTTTACACTCCTTGAAAGTTAGCTATGTTTCGACGCATTTATTCATATGAATTACCATACATAAGAGTAGTGCGATTTACCCAGAGGTTGCGAACCAACATGACATCTTAATTTCTATGGTACATGTATAATAGAGATGTTGAAAATATATTGACTTTCCTACGTGTTATTACATGCCTCTTTTTAGTCCTACCTAAATCAAATTCATAATTTAATTATTTGAAATATTGAATATGCTATCATTTTACTTTGGTCCAGCATGAACAAAGTCCAAAGCACTACAAAAACAAAATCAATCAGATCAAGGAAATTTAGCAAATAACATATAAACAAGAAAGATTAAGGAAAATAAGTAATCTAACATATGAACATGACAGATTCCACCAGAAAATAACATAGAAAGAAAGATGAAGGAAATGCCTTAGAGTGTATTTTAGCATAATTTCTTTACTTTGGGAATAAAATTTTAGTGAGAAAAAGTGAGAGTTGGGTACTTGTCTATAAAGGATGTTGGATCTTGAGAGGAAGCTTGAGCTTCTTGATTAAGAGAGAGAGGGAGAGAGACAGGGAAGAATGGAAGAGATGGAGAGGATTTTGGAGGAAAATAATACTATAGTTTTATTGAATTTTCCCCTAGATTTACAACAAGTCATCAACCTATAGCATCTATACATAGGTATCGAACACGGGTGTGGTGTCTTGTAAAATAACCTAATCTAAAATTAAACCAATTCCTTACAAAGGATTAATCGACTTTATCAGACTAATAAATAAAAATCAACTAAATAATACAAAATAATTTTCATAAATCAACTTTTATGAAGTGAAAACTATATATTGATGTTTAATTTATTTTAACATGCAGGAACTCAAGCAAGGATTCTCAGCTCAGCAGCACGCAACGGTAGCCGCAAAGAACCTGAAGATTTTGATGAGGAAAGGTAAAGAAGAAAAGCTATAAGTACAGGCCATTTCCCAAAATGGAAGTAATTTCTCTAGGTAGGAGGAATGCTTTGATGCAGATTACATTCTTCAGAGCTATTGGATTTCTACCTGGAGTTATCAAATCAAGAGATTTTAAGACCAGAAGGTTAATGGGTCTAGATCACCATTCCAGAATCTCGGTTACCTCTGCTTCTGATGAGATATCAGAAGGTTCAATTGATTAATCTGTGGTGGTTGTTTTAGTTTCTTAGGATATTCTGACATAATTATTTTAAGTTTAAATTTTTACCCCATGATGAAATATTCAAACTGCATTTTAGGACAACTTGTTTGAACAAATTAGCATTATTCATATTTGAGCAATTCAAATTTAGCAGGGGTATTATAGTTTTTTGTAATGTGATAGGAAGACAACTATTGAAGATTGATTTCTTGTGATATTTTTTCAAATCCCTTTGGTTGAACATTTTTTCAAGTAAAATTTATAAAAGTTTTTTAATATGATACATTTTTTTATCTTGCTTTATATTTTTCTATCCCGCGTTATAATTTATTTTGATTAAATCTGAAAAAATGAATATAGTTAAGCATATCTTAGGGCATCTCCATCTGAAAAATATATTTTCCACTTCAAAACACATTAACAATCATATCAAACAATAATTCATCTCTAACGGAACTCCATTTCTAACACAAAAAAAAGAATATTCTGTGTATATTATTTCTCATCTCTGTTTTTATGTTTATGAAGGAGAGCATGGGAATAGCATTTGGTTGCCATCCGGGTGAATAGTGCGACGCCAATATTGACATCATACTGTTCATAGTTGAGGTAAAATGCAAAAAAAATGTTTTCATTTTCCATTGGGATGAACGCTCATGAGAGCTGTAAACGGATGAATGGCGTTCAGAAGGAGATGCCCTTAATGCACTCATATCGACATGCCTACAACTTAATATTATTAAGATCCATTAAGCTTGTACCAGATCCATAGGGGTCCATGGAACTCAACTTCATAAGACACTATTACAAGATCCAAAATAAGACACTATTGGAAGATCCAAAAAGAATTTGATATACACAGCTTAAACCTTACTGGACATAGTCGGCTTTATGATTCAAACTAACCTCTGGGTGATAATAGTGACGTCCCAACAATTACTCCTTGTTCTGCTCTCACTGGAATACACAAATGAATGGATATTTTGCTCCCATCTTTATAAGAAGTGCAGCACAATCTAAAAAGCCGACTCATAACAAGCTTTCTTGGACGTCAAAGAGCAGATATAGCCGTTTAAATCAAAAGTAAGGAATGATCAACGGGAAGTTTGTACTAAGAAAGCAAATATCAAGCATTATAAACATTTATGACGCATGGAAAACAAGAGAACCAAAAGACGAGTATTAACTGTTATGTAATTTGATGCATGTGAATGAGTAAATAGCAAATGCTAATATGATTTCTCACAAGGTGAGATCTTTAGAGATATAACCAGCTATGAAATATAGGTATTCTCAGACGGATGAACCACTTTAAATGTTCTTAAGAAATAAATCATGTTAAGTAGGGAGGCATAGATGTTCTAAGAGAAATACCTACTCAAATTTCCTTCAAGAATGGGATGTTATCTTTCCAGTGCTGCTTAATACTATTAACAACTTCAACAGTGAAGCCTTTGTCTTCAGGGTAGTAAGCAATAGGATCTGCCAAAAGAGGATCTGGAAGATTTAGAACACCTTCAAGCGTTGCATGGAGGCAATATGCCGAGTATGTAACATGGTAACCGCCTTCTTGAACAACCAATAGACGCCCATTGGAGTGCTGATCAGATAGAAGGCGGGATAGTTGGCCAATCAGCCTAAAACCAGCCATGGTCAAGCATTGCCTTCCATTTGGATCAAACTGAAAAACAAAATTCAGCGCAACAAAAAGAGTAGTCCTGTTGCAATGCACTTGAACATGTTTTTCATTTTGAGTGTATGTAGACAATTCATCAAGATAGGTGAGCATATAGTAAAACAAAATTGATCAAAAAACTATACAATATGGATTAAGTTTCTCAATTACCACAACTATTATTTGAAAGGGAACAGGGCCTATAATAAGAGTCCAAAAAAATGTTTTTTTCATAATTTCCCTGATTTTTCCAAATTCTTCCATCTTGTAAATATATTTAAATTTTTTATAAATTAAAAAAAAATTCGAACTTTGTAGACAGGTGAACATGTCAACTTATGCTTTATGCCTTGAAAACATGGAGGCTTACTCAATCTTCAAACTTTACCATGAATGATGTAGCCATCCTTTTATTTTCTCTATCATTCCCTGTAGAGCTTTCTTAGACATTCAAACTAAGGGCTGTAATATCGTTAAACATGTGCTTTATTGCCCTTCATTAGGGAAAAGTCTAATCAGGCCGTTCCTTTAATAATTCAGAACGATCATCATTAACAAACATTCATAATTTAAATTTCAGATGTTTGAGCAAACAGGATTTTTTTGTTCACCTTCAAATATTTTGTGAAACACTTGGTAACTAATAGAATAAGCTACAGAAAAAAGCAGCTGTAAAAGAGAAAACAGAATGGAAAATCTATATACCAACTCACCGCACTTGAATCTTGCCCGACAACCAAAATGACAACACCAGGCTTAAACTCTTGAACAGCTGGAACAACCAACTTATTCATTGCATAAACGTACCCCTCATCACCTGTTCCATTGGGTAAAGGTATGTTTAGGTTGTATCCAAACCCATCACCTTCACCAGCTTCATCAATGTCTCCACTTTGAGGATGTGATGGTCCCCAAGAACCATGATTCATATGAAGGGAAATCGTGAGAACCTTGTTCGAGCGATAGAAACCCTCTGCCGTACCATTTCCATAATGGACATCAACGTCAATTACCACAACCTTTTGGCAGCCAGAGTCAAGAGCAAGTTGAACAGCTATACCAGCATTGTTCAGAAAACAGTAGCCATCAGCACGACTGGGCTGCGCATGATGACCAGGTGGCCGCACTAATGCATAAGCAAGCTTCCCATGACCGTCAAGCACATACTTCATAGCTTCTAAAGTGGTTCCAGCAGCAAGAAGACAAGCACCCCATGAACCACGATTTAGAAAAGTACCCGAACATAGTTCTTTAGCACCTTCCTTATCAGCCTGGATAAGTTCACCTATGTATTCTAGTAACGAAGAAATGTAACAAATTAGAAGTTCATCAATAAGCGAACAATACTTTATGAGAATCTACGCAAGCACGACAATAGAAATATAGGAGATGCCAAGTTTTTTTTCCCAAATTAACTATCCTGAATGGGGATTCATTGGCTACATAAGCAATTAAGGCAGTGGATCATTGGATATGACCAAATTTAGTACAAGTCAGCAGATACTATGCACAGCTCCACATTACAATATTTGACCAAATTTAGACAACTTATACAAAGAACTCTTCACACCTTTCACATCTCACTTTAAATAGTGGAAAATTTGACACAGGAACCCTAGAGAAAGGGAAGAAGGGAATGTTACCGGATGTGTGGAAGGAGAGGAGCTCGGAAATCTGGGCAGGTCTTCCGGAATGCCAGGAGATGTATGGAGAGATTGGACCCTTGCGGAGGATGGAGACCATGTTTTTCACTCGATCTGCGTTCTCTGGATGCTTCTCCAACACCTCCAGGAAGCCAGGATCCTGGCCTGTGTCAAAGATTCCGGTGCCGGCGTCGTGGCTAAGCATGCCCTCGTGCCAGAAAACGTGCAATAGTTCGCGAGAAAAAGCAGATGAAGAAGGATCCATGGTGAAGTTGGTTAAGCGGAGAAAATAATATGAGTATAAGTAGCTTAGACGCAACTAGGTGTAGCTGACCCAGGCCGGCTCAGCGAGGCAAGTTTATCAAGTTCGTGAGTCAAGTTCGAATTTGATAAGATTCGGTTCATAAGCTCACAACCCGGCTCGAGTTCATAAGCTCACAACCCGGCTCGACTCGCTAATAATATTTTTAAAATAATTTTTTATTTTATTTATTAAATTTCAACCTGCCTAATCCCGCCTAAAAATTTATTCTAAAATTTTTTATCATTATTCTCGCCTAATCCCCCTCAAATTTGAAGTGGACAATGCTCAAGGCGATTGTGTCTACTCGTGTTGTGTGCCCATGAGATGAGCGTGAAAGCGACGATGGGTCTGGATCACTTGCGGAAAATAACGGGCAGCGAAAGATGCCAGACTGCCTGAGGTTCGCATGTTGAAATAGCGGGCAAATTCGAGCGGCTCGACGAGCCCGTTTCAATGTTCTGAGTCGAGCTCGACTAGAGTTCAAGCTCGGTATTTGACTCACGAGTCAAGCTCGACTACACTCGTTTACACCCATAGACGCAACTCACATGTATGGTTGGTTTCTAACCTTGTGTATGTGATATGTGTGTAAATTTATTTAAATTGATCTAAATATTAAAAAAAAAAAAAGTATATCCAACTTAGAGCCTGAGACACTACCTAATAATCACCCAGATCCTACGAATATGATTAAATCCTTTAATAGACAATTATATTTTTATCTACACAATTAATGTTCAAATCATATTCGAGTCCAACCACCAATCCAAAAATACTTGATTTGACCCACAATGAGAATTAGAAAGGGAAAATCTTTAAAAGGAGCTTGACCATAATTAAAATAAACAAGAGGAGCTTATAAAAATAAAAATACTAAGAAGGATCAAATGCCATAAAATATCAAATTCAGTGGTTGCATATTGACAAATAGGAGAAATTTTTCATGTATTCAACAGAATACGATAGAATGTTTTTCGGTATTTGGTTGAATACAGTAGAACATTTTCTTATTCAACTAAATACCAAAAATATCCTCACATTTTCCCCTGACAATTTCATTCGGGGCGAGATTCGCCAAAAATTTTATCATGCAGTGGCCAACAAATTGAGACAATAATTTTTAAGGGATTCTAATTGGTCATTAATTCCCATTTAGCAATGTTGATTCACCATTTAACCAACAAGAACATCAAGATCAGTATAGTATTTCAACAAATGATTCTATGCTTTTTATTGTCGACTTAGGCTTCGTTTGGGACGGCTTTTTTACTGCTTCTTAAAACAGCTTTTTAGTCCAAAAATAGAAAATTTTGTACTAGAAAGTCGCTTTAAGAAGCAGTTTTAAAGCCCTCCCAAATGAAATCTTATAATGATTCTATAACATCATGATAGAGGAGCAAAAAAAATGCATAGAGTTCGTCAATTTAGAAAAAATTCTTGTCTATAAAAAGAGTTCACCCATCCTTGGCTAAATTTTTAAAAGTAGTTTAAGGTTTTGTTTGGGATGAATTTTTTACTGTTTTTAAAAGTAATGTTTTTGTACAAAAATTTTAATTTTTGTAATAGAAAATTATTTTAAGAAGCAGTAAAAAAGTAATCTTAAATGAAACCTAATACTAATTAAAATTTGAAAACATAGTGTAGATAAAATGAAATTTGAAAAAGAACAAATACGCTAATGCGGACTACATATTATGGAATAATTTCTATATTTATGAGAAAACAGAAAACATTTCAAGTTGGAAATTATAGGTTATAATTCTAACATTTTTTTATTTTTTTAGGTTTCTCAAAATCAAATTGGATTCATGCCGGGTAGGTTGACTATGGAAGCCATACATTTATTAAGAGGTTTGATGGAGAAATATAGAGAAAATAAGGAGGATCTACATATGATATGTATTGATTTAGAAAAAACATATGATAAAGTTCCGAGATAAGTGCTATAAAGATATGTATGCATGAGCTATTACTTGTATTCAAACACAAGGTGGTTTGACCAAGTATTTCCCTATTTCGGTTGTGTTACATCAATGATTAGCCTTAAGCCCATATCTTTTTTCTTTAGTCATGGATGTTCTCACTAGACATTTACAAGAGGATGTACCTTTGTGTATGTCTTTTGCTGATGATATTCTTCTTATTGATAAGACTAGAGAGAGTTGAAGGTAAACTTGAATTATGGAAGTCAACCTTAGAGTCTAAAGGTTTTCGCTTGAGTAGATCTAAAATGGAATATATGGAGTGTAATTTTACTAGTAATAGACCTAGTGAGGTGATTGTGACTTCGGGTGATCAAGTCATTAATAAAAGTATATGTTTTAGATATCTTGGATCTATGGTTCAGAGTTATGGTGAAATCGATGAGGATATTATCAGCAGAATTCAAGTTGGATGGTTCAAGTGGAGGAATGCATCAGGCTTTTTGTGTGATAAAAAAGTGCCCCTCAAACTTAAGGGAAAATTCTATAGATGATGGTTGGCAATTAAAAGAGAAGCATAATACTAAGTTAAGTGTGGCAGAGATGAGGATGCTCAGGTGGATGAGTGGCTTTACCCTTAGAGATAGGATACGAAATAAGCATATACGTGAAAAGGTTGGAGTAGCTCCAATAGAAGATAAGATTAGAGAGAGTCGCCTTAGATGGTTTGGATACATAAACGGCGGCCTTTCGATGACCCGGTTAGGAAAGTAGAGGTATTAGATTTGACTTATGATAAGAAAGGTAGAGAAAATACTTGGTTAGAAAATATTAGAAATGATCTTTTTTTATTAGATTTAAATAAGAACTTGACTTTTAATTGGATACAATGGAGAAAAAAAGATTAATGTAGCTGACCCAACGTAGTGGGATAAAGACTTAATGTTGTTGTCTTTTTTATGTGATTTGAAGTTTTTTTTTTTTTTTTCAGTTTCATAAGTGTAGTAATATTTAAGTTTTTTTTGTAATAATCGCACTTGAATAGTTGTGCTGATTTAAGTTTGTGAATGGTAATTTTTCAGCTTTGTAGTTGCATTTAAATTTTTTACTTTACTTAATTTTTTCAGTTTATGTAATTATCTTAATATTTCATAATTTAAACAAAAATGATTATAATAATTGATACGTCACCAAAAATCGACTTGATCCAGCATGAATCTCGAGGAATATTTGAGTTGGAAAATTCCAAAATTAAATTCAAGATCCTTTGAACTTCAACTTCAGCAAACATATAGTAAAACTTAATGTCTCGAAAAGATGAATCCAACAATACGAAAATCAGTCCAATACGAGCCCAAATGCGACCAAATCGAGGGCATGAAGCCTATTTAAAAGATTCAAAGCAAAATTTGAATGATCAAATGATATCTAATGATGGTATGATTATAGTCAAATCGAGCAGCTCAATGAAACGAATCCAACGAGCCCAAAATCGCTTAATTCTGACATCATATAGGAACATAAATGCTTGAAAAATGTTTTTTGATCGAGGGGATCGATATGGGTCATATGAGGGAGCACTCCGAATTCGCCCTAAATCTTCTCCATATTTATGAGACATGTCACCCTAAAAAAATTGTAAATAGAAGAAGGGGAGGCTTGGAGCTTGGACCTTTGGCGGGAGATTGGAGAGAGCTTTGACGCTTCAAGAGCTCCAATACTACCACCACCGAACCTTCATCGGTTATCGTCATACCATCACCTGGTCGCCTACTATTGTTGGACTTCCACTCGACCATCGACCGATGCTGAACTTCCACTGGCCACCGACCATTGCCAGACTTCGACCCGGCTGCCGACCACGTTCAGACTTTTGATCAACCATCATTAGACCATCACCTGGCCGCCAACCTCCACTAAACTTACACCCGACAACCAACCGTCGCTGAACTTTCGCCCGACCATCCCTCGTGCCACTGTCACCCATCGACCACCACTAAACTACTGCCCGGTCACCGTTAGCCGCCTGACTTCCACCCGATAATAAATCACTATCAAACTACCACATGGTCGTTAACCATTGTCGAACTTCAACCTGACCATCATCGGATCACTGCCTAGTCGCTGACCTCTATTAGACCACAGTCTGGCTGCCGACAACCGCCAGACCACCTCACAGTCCGACCAATCACTATCGCCCGCCGACTATAATTCTTTCATCCATTATCGTCCGTTGACTATAGTCTCATCGACCACTATCTATGTCAGTCCTTCTGACCACTATCACCCATCGATTACGATCCCACTGACCTCTCTTCGCCCACTGACTTTGGTCTCTCCAACCACTGTCACCAGATGACTGCGGACTCACTAACCAACATTGTCGCTAATTACAATCCTTCCGACCACTATCGCCACTGACTATGATCCTTCCAACCACTTTCTCCTGCTTACTACTGCTCCTACAACAACTATCAGCTACCGACTACGATCGTTTCGACCTCCCATCGACTACCAACTAAGGTCCCTCTTACCATTGTCACCTACTAACTATGGTTCCTACGACCTTCGCCACCTACTGACCATGATCCCTCGGACCACCATATCCCATTGACTATGGTCCCTATGACCAACCTCGTCTGTCGACCACGGTCCCTATGACCTTTACCACTTGCCAACTATTATCCCTCATATAGTTGTCTCCTACCGACTATGGTCTGTCTGTCTACCATCGCGCGCCGATTATAGTCCTTTGACCACAGTCGCCCACTGAATATAGTCCCTCCGACCTCCTGTAGCCTGCCAACTATGGTCCCTCCGACCACAATAGCACTCAAACACTATTTTCAGAACAACTCTGATATCTCTAGATTCTTCTAACTACCACCATGTAATGTGTTATATATAATGTACACAAGCCAAAGCCTTTTTCCCACAAAAGGGCCTCATTTGTAATCAACAATAAACACTAGTTAAACTAGTTCAACTGTGTTAGGCCCTATCGTTTTTCCTCCTTTTATGGTTTTACACACAAAAAATTTGGTATCGTTTATGACTCTCGAACCCC